AGAGAATGAAAATTGGTCTTTTATGGATTGCCTTGAATATTTATCAAAACAGTGTGTGCATTTAACATCGGAAAATCGGCATGAGATTTTTGAGAACTGTAAGATTGATTTGCGTTCAATAATTTCTTCTAAATCAACACTTAAAAGAGCTAAGGACAAAGCCAGTAAAATGGAAAATTCTGCACAACGTACATTTCATCGCGAAGAAGTTTGTTTTTTGAAAAACTGGATACAGAGGTATGTTAATTCGTTGTCATTTAATTTATATATAAATACTAATTTGTTACGTATTTTGTAGGCTAAAATGAATGCCACAAAAAATCTTAAGAATGCAATGAAAATTTTTGTGAATGAGAAAGAAAGTTTATATGAGACAAAACTAGAGGCACGTACGTATAGCAAGTTTACGAGACATATAGAAGATACGGATGCGGAAGTTGGTCGTTCATACAAACGCTCTAGACAATCGGAGGATTACCATGAAGAAACAGGTGAAGCAACAACAGACGAGGATGTCAATGCTTCTGAATCTCTCCTTCAAAAAAATGACAAAAAAGAAGATATACAAGATGACGTGGTAAGTAATTATTTTAATAATACATTTTAAAACAACGGATTTTTAATGCTGTTGATTTTTTTTCTGCCAGATAAAAGGCATTCTAGGAAATATTGTTGAATACTCAGACGTAACGAAGGAAATTTTTTCGATTTATAAAAAGCAATACCCTAATGGTGATCTAATTGATCTCCGGCTGAATTCGGCCTTTTTCAAAAAAAAACTTCCAAACTCGACAGCGATTTCGTATCTAACGGAGATGGATACCATAACTGAATCATTGGTTCCTAAAAATGTACATGATTTTCTTGTGCACCTTTTTTCGAAAAATTTAACCGCCAAAGAATGGCATTGTGAAATCGACGATCTAAGATCTCCAGAAAAAAATGATCCCGTAATGAACGCAGTAGTACGAGTTATACGCCGTACTTTACCACAATTGTATGTTAAGCATTAATTGATCTATTCTTTTTTTCGATTCTGTTCTAAATATTTTTTTCTTTTGCACAGTATCAAGGCATTCTCACTCGAAGATCAGAATCCTCTTATAAACATTACAACCATTGAAGGGGCTCATCTTAATTCTTTCGTTCATCCATGCCTCGATGCCTTTTTATGGTATATAGCAAATATACATTACGAGTATGGAGAGATTACATCGAAAAAACACGTTAATAATAATCGCGCAGATGGTGCGGGGTTCATGACAGATGTTAATAAATATCAGCTTGTATATGTCGAAGGTTCAAGGCCGGTAACAAAAGATGATAAAGAAATTACTGATATAGAAAAAATAACTAAAAATATAAAAAATATATTTGCGAAAATCGTAAAAGAAACTATTAAAAATAGAAGGCGCCTGCCAGAAACGTTGTATGTATTTGGAGGTCAAAGCTTTCGTCTTCGAATACATTTATTTTATATTGATTATTGCGGTATGTATTTTCATTTATTGAAAATTTTACATTATAAAAGGTACTGATAATTTGAAATAAATATTAATTCAGGCACGTATAGATTAAATGAGGTTGATAACACTAATCTTCCTCGGAAATTCTCTGAAATGAAAGATTTCATTTATTTTTACGAATGTGTATTGAAGTGGGCGGTATGTATTAACACAAAATATTTGTTATGACAGTTATAACATTTAACTTCCTTTAATCTTACGTATTATTTATGAATTTAGCTATTGGTTCGAAATGTTACGGAATCTTTTGATAAAGCAAAGACTGAACAGAGGCCATCACGGCTTTCATATGCAAATGCTCTTCTTCAATTGAATGATTGATCTATATTGGTTACAATATGTGGGCATCTACTGATGCAAAATATAGATCTTACATAAATTGTGAATAAAATATTTTCATTTATAATAATATATATTCTCGAATTTCATGATTAATTTCTAATCTTGTATAATCATAATAAATAATAAAAAGTTTTCGGTTGATTAAAAAGTAATTTTTTCATATACCATATTACCAATTAGTATTTAAAGTTTTAACATCATTCAATGAGGCCCAATTCTCGAAGATGCTCCGGAATAACTATATATGGGTCTTCGTAGTACCAAACATACCTTAAAACAATCCAGTTTTCTTCACATAATTCATTCTTGAGTTGATCCCGTTCCTGCTGTTTGATGAAATTATTGGAATCTTCTCTATGAAAGAATTTGATGTATTTTTCATGCTGTTGACCTTGTACTTCTATAGCTAGACCATATTGAGGATAATAAATATCCAGTTCTAATCCACTTGGGTGTTTGGAGGTTTTAAGAAAATCAGGTTTGCGATTTTTTGATGGCTCCCCTAAATATTTTGATACGATTTCACGACATAAATTCTCACGTTTATATTTTGAGCAATGGGGGCACCACGTATTACCATTTTTAATACTTGCCAATGAAGAATTCCATTCATGACCTTTGACACATTTCCATCGTAAGTGGGATTTACCATTAATATATTTATTTGAAATACACTCTCCACCTTTATTAAATGCGATTATTTTAGCAATATCGAGAGTATTCTTAGCCTGACCTGCGCAATATGGACACCATGAGTTGCCATTTTTAACGCTATTAAAAGTTGCATACCATTTATGATTTTTTGCACAACTCCATAATAGTTTAGTATAACAATTTTTATATTCGGTTGAAAGACATTTTCCATTTCTACTATATGCAATTTGTTTGACATCTTCAAGAGTATATTGAACGTTACATACACAATATGGGCACCATGTATTACGTTTGTTTACATTTTTAAAAGTTGCATACCATTTATGATTTTTTGTACAGCTCCATAATAGTTTAGTATAACAATTTTCATATTCAGTTGAAAGACATTCTCCATTCATTTTCGATGCGTATTTTCTACAATCTTCAATACTATACTGAGTTTGTGAGCATATCTTACACCATGTACCTTGATTTTTTATATTTCCTAAACTTGTATACCAAATATGATTTTTAGAACATCTCCATTTTAAAGGCTCTCTGCTATTTACATAAGATATTGATAAACACTTTCCATTTTTATCATATGCTATTTGTTTAGCAATTTCAAGATTAAGAGGTTTTCTGTTACTACAATCTGGACACCATGAACCTTGATTTTTGATATGACGAAATTTAGCAGTCTATTGGTGATTTTTATTGCATTCCCATAGCATTGGAGTTTCATTATTGATATACTCTTTGGAAAGACATCATTCTCCTTGAGATTTGGCTATTTTTATTGCATTATTTAAAGATAATTTATTAGTCATTGTGGTTAGCAGTTGTATTGTTTTTTAATAATTATCTTACTTTTAATTCTTGTTTTATTAAACAAAATCCAATAACAAAGGATGAAGCTAGTGCAGTGAACCCATTAGTCGAATCATTTTTAAGACATGAAGTTAATAGATATCAGAAAAAATTAAAATACCAACGCAAAAGCTGGCCTATAGTGAAAAATTCTTTATATAATAGCGGAGCTAGTGTCAAGACACATACAGGTATGCCCGATCAGGAAACTCAAACCCAAGATACTGACCCAATTTGTGATCAGACACATAAGTGTCCTTGCTCCGCATGTGCGGAAGAGATCAATTCTCGAGTTAAAAAAGAGTTAGATAGTTTATCCCTACAATTGCTTGAATTCAACGAAAAAACTTTTGACCCTTTTATGCAAGAAATCACTAAACAACTTGAAGAGCGAATTAATGCTAATAATAAATTGCGCAGTGAAATCGATCAACAAAAATTAAAATTGCAAAAAGCGGAAAAATTACTTGCAAATCTGAAGTTCCATTAATAAGTATAGTCATAATCCCTCGATGCTTGTAGCGTATTACGACATTTCTCACAGACCATCCAAGAATATTCGAGGTTTAAAGACGCCGATTGATTATAGTTCTTTTTCCCATGAGCAGTGATCTGATAATTTGAGTATTTTTTCATCAAATCCCCTATACTTACATTTTCATTCTTTGTCACATAGGCTTTATGAATACCATCTACCATAACTTTTATCGCATTTTTATCATACGTATTCGAAGGCTCCAGTTCAAGAGTAATAGTATCTGATTTCTTAAATTTATGGCCACCACAAAATCTCATCCCTACTACCATAAAGGAATGAGTAACAATACAATCTATATACAATGGTGATGATATTTCCTTACAACTACAACAAGTATTAGTCATGATTAAAAACTATTATATTTTCTGTATATGAATAATATCCAAGTTCAAATAGATAATCCTATTATCCGATCCACATATCCTGCAACTGTTTACTTTTTTTACCTATGCCCCATTCACGTCTAAATACCACGAACCATATAACAGCAATAATCAAGATAAGTAATATATATGCTGATAGTGGTGACACCAAAGTACTTGCCACAATAGGTATTGCTTCTATTCCTTCTACCGAAATCTGCGAATCTGAATTTATATGTGTGTTTAGCATAATATCTTTACTAGTTCTGCTATTATTAGTTTCAGATGCGTTAGCATCCTTATTCCATGAGTCACTTACCTTGGGTATAGGGATGATTCCGTCATCATCATCGATTTTTTCAATATCTTCTATATTTTTTCTGCACGCTAGATACAGTTTAAGATTATTGCTAGATTCACTAATTATAAATATATTAGATGTGAAAACATTCTCACTCTGTAAGTCAAACTTGGATATATTTTTTTCGTCATCTCCACCAACTATTGTGGAACAGGTCAAAGAGTCTACAGATTTTGATATAGCCTCCGATTTCAGGTGATCGAGTTCACTTCTCACACGTTCCAATTCAACTTCTATTTGTTTAAAGTCATCTATTTTAGATTTAAGGGATAGATTCTCAGTTTCCGTTTTCGTTAAGTTTTCCTGAATCGAAAATGCGTCTTTTTGAGCTGATGCTAACTTACTCTCCAATATCTTAATTATAGCCTGGAGTGATTTTATTTCTTTTAATTGTATATCGTATCTGGCTTTATACTCATTATAGGAAATCTGTGATTGGGTAATCTGGAATGTAAGATTAGTATTGTCTACTCTCAATCATTTAACCTCATCTATAAGCTGGGATGCATGTTTGGAGAGTTTCTTTTTATCTTTATTGAATTGTTTTAGATTATGTTGTATACTGTTGTATAATGACCTTTCGTTATAACATTTAATATTATTGGATTATAAATATCTCATATTTTATTGGATAAAG